CACTATCCCGTTATAACTATCCTTATAAGTATACCCTTATAACTATACCCTAATAACTATGTCCTTAACACTATAACCTTATAACTATAGGCTTACAGCTGTATCCTTAACACTATCCCCTTATAACTATCCTTATAACTATACCCTTATAACTATACCCTTGTAACTATGCCCTTAACACTATGCCCTTAACACTATCCCCTTATAACTATCCTTATTACTATCCCCTTATAACTATATCGTTAACACTATAACCTTATAACTATCCTTACAACTATACCCTTATAACTATACCCTTATAACTATAACCTTACAACTATAGCCTTGACACTATCCCCTTATAGCTATCCTTATACTTAGGTCTGCCGAAAAGGTCTAAGCACATTAAATAAAAACATAAAGATAAGGAGATATTTTTAATTGAATTTTATCAAATATTGAGGATAGTTGCCGGCATTATTTATACCAAGTTCGATGTTTTCGTACAATTTGTTACAAGTTGTTTTGAAGTCTTTTTGGAAAAAAATTTTAGGTACCTTGCAAACCGCATGAATTAATGATATTTCATTTTTTTTATAATTTAGCGAAATTTTGTGGAATCATGCTACCTGCGTTCTAGCATTACTAGTGATGGAATATTGATTTATTTTATATAGGTTAGTCATAAGTCACCTGATGCTAGCTGGAACATTGAACATGAATCGTCAAAGACTATTGTTCATGAAAACAAATTTTTACCAAAACTTTGTTTGGCATGTTCTTTAAATCAAATGGTCCTGTTTTTATACATAGTGTAGATAAAGGCAAGACTGTAGGTCGCACGCATTATACTGAAAATTGCCCGAAGCCTTTTGTTAGTGTGATATGGAAACAAGCAGAGACATCAGCTATCAAATGTACAAAATTGATTGACGACCATCGTTGACTTCATACTGATCTAATATTATTAATTATGTGACAGAACAAGACATCAATATAACCTCATGTCCTCCACATTCGTGAGGTCTGATGCTATTTAATTTTTGGCTAACTAATTCTATCGAACGTAGTTTAACTGATTAAGTAAATGAAACATGATTAACTCATGCGGTTTCCAAGATACCTAAAAATTTTTTCCAAAAAGGCTTCAAAACAACTTTTAACAGATTGTACGAAAATTATCGAACTTGGTATAAATAATACTAGCAACTATCCTCAACACTGGATAAAATTAAATTAAAAATATCTCCTTATCTTTATTTTTTTATTTAATGTGCTTAGAACTTTTGGTCAGACCTCAGTAACTATACTCTAATAACTATACCCTTATAACTATGTCGTTAGCACTATAATCTTATAACTATACCCTTACAACTATATCCTTAACACTATCCCCTTATAACTATCCTTATAACTGTACCCTAATAATTATGTCCTTAACACTATAACCTTATAACTATACCGTTACAAATATACCCTTAGAACTATTCCTTAGACAATATCCTTACACCTATAGTCTTATAAATATATCCTTACAACTATATCCTTATAACAATAGTCTTGGCACTATACCTGCATATGTATACCGTCAAGGGAAAAACAGCGGAGACTTCCCTGATGAGATCTTGTGAAGTATTGAAAATCTCGGGAGGTCCCATAAAATCTGTGGGAGCCTCTTGACGTCTTTGAAAGTTTATTGACGTGCGGTAAAATGCTTTGAAGTCTTTTGAAGTCTTTCAGAAATTTGAAGTCTTGATGTTGAAGTCTTAAAATCAGATGCTTTCCCCGAGTTATGTATACATGTATAGCCTTATATATATAGGCTTGTATCTATCTATACTCTTATAGTTATATCTCCATACTTATTGGTGTAAGCTGCGTGGTTTCCCGTATACTCTTATACTTACAGGTTGAGATGTGTACCGGGATATGTTAATCTTATACGGATACTCTTATGCCTAATTCTTTATAGGTATACACATGTAATCATAGGTTTAGAACTATATGCTGGCATCTGTGTGTGTTTCGTCAGATACTCCAACGTATTTGTTAGTGTATGCTCAAATACATAGCAGCCGAACAATAGAAATCAAGTGAAAAGGCTGAAAAATAGAAGAAAACTAGTGACATGTTCATTTTGTCAGTAGATAAAAGCAGTTTTCGGTCGTTCTGAAAAATCGTTCATTTGGTATAATAGCGTATCGCTAAATGAAAGAAAGAAAAATATCTGATGAAATAGTACCATCGCATGGACTCTAAATCACATTTTAGAACAGATGTTTTGTTCCAAGCTTTTCAAAAAAGGATTTCATAATAATTAGTAGGTAAACAAATTTTTCTTATTCAAACTCTGGTATAATGTCCTATGTTGACTAAAAAACGCTGAAGAGTTCTGCAAAATTAACAGAACCTTTGCTGTTTCAGTGTCTTTTAACAGGATAATTTCTATAGTTCAGCATTTTTTGACAAAGCGCTAGAAGGCTCCGGATTACTGGACAGAACTTTTTCAGTTCCATATACTTGGAAAAAGAACTTTATATGGTTCTGCCTTGTTTTGACAGAACCCTACCAGGTTCAGCATTATTGGACAGAACCTGTTTGGTTCCATACTTGTGGTCTGAGAACTTGTTTTGGTTCAGCCTTTTTTTGACAAAATCTTACAAGGTTCTGTATATCATGGGCAGAACCTCTTTGGTTGAGCATTCTTGGATGGAGTGCCTTTCATGGTTCGGCATTTTTTAGGCAGAACTATACAAGGTTCGGACTTGTCGAGCAGAACCCAATGGGTTTTGCACCTCTGGGCAGGAAGCTTTGTATGGTTTAGTAATTATTGAGCAGTACCTTACATAGTTTGGGTAGTAGTGGGCAGAACCACTTGGGCTCAGTATCTCTGAATAGGGAACATTTGATGGTTCCGGATCACTGGGCAGAACTCTTTTGGTTCAGACTTTTGGTTAGAGAACCTTTTTCGGTTCAGTATTACCAATCAGAACCTTTCACGGTTTCGTACTAGCATACAGAACTGTAAGTTGGTTCTGCAGATGATGCAGAACCAAAAACAGTTCTGCAAAGCTCCTTTTTTTTTTAGAGAGTAGTACCAAGGCTCTTCTAACAACCAAGAGTTTTGAGAAATCAAAGTTTTTGCAATGCAAAAGCGGGAAACCATTGAATTTTGAAAGATTTGCAGCGATTCATAGCTGTCAAGGATATTCAAGAAACTCTGAAATTCCATAAGTTCAAGTTATCTTACTCACTTAGCAGTATGAGTAGACAGTAAGAAAACTAAGAAATCAGAATCAAGTATTGATTCGCAGCATGTTAAGATTATTCTAGGAAAAGCGAGAAACTACGGACAACAAGAACACCAAATGATTTGCGAATATCAACAATAAGCAAGAAATCAATAAATCCCACAATTCCTCGGCATAAGAACAAGAAGTTTCAATAACGCAAATGATTCATAGTACTTAAACATTATCAAGAATATATGGGTACCTGAAAAATCAAAAAATTCGAAAGATTTTCTGATTTCGCAGATTGTCAGAAGGTTATTTGTATGATTAAGAAATCTAACATATTAATGCACTCTATCCATTCAAGACGTCAAACATAACCAGCAAGCTAAGAAATTCAAATCTGTCAATGATTCCAGTCATTTAGCATTGCAAATGATCACCACAAAACTAGGAAAATTCCACGACTCGAATAATTTCGGGGCACTCATGCAAGGGGGAAACGGCAGATTCCAACGGTTTGGAATCCCTTGGAATCGCTGAAATCTCTTGGAATCCCTTGGAATCCCTTAGAATCCCTCGGAATCCCTCGGAATCCTTAGTAATTCCTTTTAGTCCGTAGAAACTTTTGGTTTCTCTGCAAAAAATTCCTTTCTCAAATTAATATTAGTTGCATCCTAATGTTTTTTCTTAATCATAATATCTGACAGGATAGAGATAATTATGAAGCAAGACTACAGCTATCTATGTTGCTTTTCTTCGACAAATGTATTATTTGCTTCTAATTCATGTGCAAAAAAACAGTTTTTACGTCTTTTTATTTAACAAAATATAATTCGTCGACAAAGAAAAAAAATATCATGTAACAAAAAAAACCTTCATTCTTCTCTTTTATTCTGCATTACTCTGAGAAGTCTATCATTTGAAAGTCTAATTGTTTCTTCTGTTAATAACCAACAAGCAGACTGTTTATGTAAATACTTTGTTTGATTGTTAATTAAAACTTTAAAATAAGTGTTTTGTACGTCAGGCTTTATTGTATCATAGACTTTTGTTCCAAAAAAGTCTCTTTTCGTGGTATTACTGAATTCAGTTGTAATTTCTTGCTCTTCATCATCAGTATGATCATTATCTGAAGAAGAATCTTCATAAGTAGAATTGTCACTGTTGATGTCTTCATCATCATCAGCAGCTAATTCAAATTCTTCACTATCGATGATATCTACTTGAGATGAGAAATTGTACATCTGAGAATTCGTATTTAAATGTTCAAATATATATGCACTTAATGAATTTAAACCAAGTACATGCTTTTGTTCTAATATGTCCAATACTTTTAAATCATTATATATTGTAACAGCTTCATCATATGCATCAGCAATTAGTTGTTCAATATCTATTTAATCGATTTCATCTTGAATTGATTTAGATAATGGTTGTCGATCATGACGACGTTTATAATGAACTGGAAAAATTAATTTGTTAGCTGATTGATCATGGAACTGTTTATACTTAATATCATTAAGCAACGATAATTTCTGCGCTCTTTGTACAAAGTCATGTACAGTAAAGTTAACAACAGTTGAGTAAATTCCACTTAATGCACGGGTATTTCTGAAGATTGACTCACAAGCTTGTGAATTAAAAGTATAAATATTTAATGCTTCTAGTGGTAATTGCTTTTCGTTCACAAGTAAAGCTAAGCATAGTAGATTGTGAGCATTGAGTTCTACTGACATATATGCTGGCCTTGTGATAAAATATTTGCTTTTATTATTTTGAGTTGTTTGTGTGGCGTTGAATGTTTTAAATCTAATCCATGCAAACCACAACCGACATAGAAAGACCACATGCCAGGCAGATTTTAGCCCTAAAATTATAGTTTCACATAATAAGAGCACTTTTTAAATGAAAACATTTATTGTATTTACAAATAAATAAGATAAATTGGAAAACTTACGCTCAGTAATTGTTGTTGCTTTTTCAACATAAGCTACTATGATCATTTTTAACATTTGAAGATAGATAAATGTTCCTTGGGTGTTTACATTCTCACTTAAAATTCGAAGAAGGCCATTGTTTGTTATTTTCAAACAGGAGTTGAAGTTTTGACGATCTTTAGGATTAATGTAGGTTTTTGTGAGACAATGATCGAATTTAGTAAATGCTGGATTGTCAATAATATCATATAGATGGTTGACTGATATAGCTTTATTACCAATACACAATTCAGCTGTTGATGATAATAAACGATTACGCCATTTAGTCACCAAATGTGTTGCATCTTGAAGAAACAGCAACAGTTGTTGTTTTCGTAAAAAAAATCAAGGCCATTGTGATGTTGTTTGTATTTTAAAAGCTAGTGGATGTTGATGAAGTTGAAGATTAGAACTAGAACCAAAGAATCCACTAATCAAACGCATTGCGCGTAAATATT